TGTTCTGGGCCTTGGGAGTGCTCTCCGTCATGGTGAGCTTAGGGGGCTCCTTCCTCTACCCCCTCCCCCAGCTTAGGACGCTGGCGGGAGGCTTGAGGCTAACCTCAGAGAAGAGGCCAGCCCGCAGCCCTACATGGGGAGGGAGGATTTCTGCTGGGGCCCTGCTATAGGCAGGGGACCCCTCTCAGCAGTCCCTGAGGACAGGAAACGCAGTGTGACTGCAGGCAGAGTGCTCAACTTCTCTGAGCCCAAGTGGCATCAGTTAATGCCACAAACACCTGAGCGTCCCGATGTGCTGGCTTGGGCCAACCCCAGAGAGAGCCCCTCCCCTTGTTTTTGGGGGTTGGGGTTTGGCCTGGACCATACAGACAGAGGCCGGGAGAGAAGTTCTCCCCTGCCTGTCCCCAGAGGTGTCCCTTTGCCCTCATAGACCGGGCCGCCCTCCCCACCTCACATCCCCCTTCCCACCTTCCCCCTGCCAGACCCTATAGGCCCCATAGCAGACAGGTCTAGAACTTGGTCCCCGACCAGGCCTGGGCTGCCACCAGAATTTCTGGCAGATACAGGAAGCCCCCTCTAGCACCGTGTCTTCTCCCCTTCTCCATCTGAGAGAGGCTGAGGGAAGGGAACCCCACCCCAGAATCCTGCTTTTCCCCCTCCCTCCTGGACGATGGGCAGGGTGGGGTGGGGCAGGGGTCCACAGCTGCTCTAAGGTAGAGCCTTCAGAGAGGCTCTTGAAACTGCCGGTGTATTTGTGTGTATGTTTATTTGGGGTGTCCTGGGTAGAGCTGGGGACCCAGCTGAGCTGTCCTGCCAGCCAGGACGATGCAGGGCCCGTTGGGATGGGTCTGGAGTCGGGAGCAGGTCTGTGTGAGATGAGGGCAGCACTGGATCCTGGGTCCTACAGGGTCTTCAGACCCACAGATCCTCAGGCGACAACCCCAGTGTGCTCACTGACCAATGCCAGCTGGCTGTCCCGTGGGGCCAGCCACCTGCAGAGAGGAGGGGGCACACCCCAGGTAGGAAGTGTCCAAGTGCCCTGACCTGGCCCTCTCGGTTTCCCGCACCCCTACAGAGCGCTGCAGCTGCCCCCAGCCCTGTGATGGGGAGTATGGCCCCAGGTGACGCAATGGCCGCAGGCCCCATGGCAGCTGGCTTCTTCCAGGTATGGCCCAGACTGGAGTCCCCTGGCCCCCAACTCTGGGTGAACATGCGTCTGAGGATGAGAGTCCCACGTGGGCAGAGGTCATGAGGCCAGCAGGCTGGAGATGGGTGGGAGGGTCCTCTGTGTCGCAGGTGTGCCCAGGTGGGCCTTTCAGGGGCCATCGAGGGAGGGCCCGAGTGCAGTGGAGGGTGGGTGTCTGCACGCTTGGCCGGTACATGCGTGTGCACAGGGTGCACAGGGTCCTGGTGACCACTGGAGCCTGAGTCCTGCCCTCAAGCCTTCCCACAGGGTCCCTGTCCCATAGGCTGGCCCACCCCTCTGCCTCCATGGAGCCCCTCCCCTCCTCAGCCAAACCCAGTAGGACCTCATTCCCCCCAACCCACCTGGTTCTGTCCTCCTAGGGCCCCTCGGGCTCCCAGCCATCCCCCCACAACCCCAACGCCCCCATGATGGGGCCTCCCGGTCAGGTAAGGAGCTGTGGTGCCTGCCCCTAACACACACACATCCCCTCCCCCAGTGCCACCCTTTCCTGCCCCCAAGCCATGATGTCCTGGCCGGCTGGCACCGCCAGGCTTTGCTGACTGGTCTGGAGGAGGGGGCTCCCCAGGTCGGGGGTCCCCCAGCATAGCAGGAATGTGGTAGCTTTGGGAGCCAGAGGGTCGGGGGAGGTGCTGATCCCCGCCCACCTCTTCCAGCCCTTCATGTCACCGCGCTTCCCAGGGGGCCCCCGGCCCGCCCTGCGGATGCCGAGTCAGGTGAGAAAGGGATGATGGGAGGGGGGCAGGAGCTGGGCCGGGGAGAGAGCACCCCACACTCAGTGCCGCCGTACCCCCTCTGCAGCCTCCCGCAGGCCTCCCCGGTTCCCAGCCCCTCCTCCCTGGCGCCATGGAGCCCTCCCCAAGAGCCCAGGGTGAGTAGGGAAGCTCCACCCCCCATCCCCCCATCAATCAGAATTCCAGCTCTCAGAGCCCTGACCTTGCTGCCTCCCTGCTGTCCACACTGGGGAATGGTCCAGGTCCAAGTCCCCTTCCTTCTGCCCCACCCCAGGGCATCCGAGCATGGGCGGCCCAATGCAGAGGGTGACGCCTCCTCGGGGCATGGCCAGCGTGGGTCCCCAGGTAAGAGTGGAGCCCTGGTGGGTGGGGCTTTCGGGCTGTCCCCGGTCTGCCCCTCACAGCCCCTTTGCCTCTGCAGAGCTATGGAGGTGGCATGCGGCCCCCACCCAACTCCCTTACTGGCCCAGGCCTGCCTGCCATGAACATGTAAGACCCTCGGGGACCCCCGGAGTGTGCAGTTCACAGGCCACCACTAGCTTCATGGCTGGGTCAGCTGGGGCAGGCTCTGAATCCTCAGGACAGTCTTGGATATTGTTTATTTCATGGCCACTGAGGGGAGACAGGCCTGAAGTAGCAGTTAGTCCCCTGGGGCCAGTGATGGGTTGAGATTGGAACCTGGCCGCTCGCGGTGGCCACTTTTCCAGCAACATCTGCTCTGTGGCCTGTCTGGGGACACAGTGGAGCAGGATGTGGGGGGTGCGTGGTGGGGGCTGTGATCCACATGGACTAGCCCTGGAGTCTGTCACCCACCGTCTCTTCCAGGGGCCCAGGAGTTCGTGGCCCGTGGGCCAGCCCCAGTGGAAACTCGGTGAGCCTAAGGCTGGGTGGGCAGGCCTGGGGTGGGGTGGGAGGGGCACTGGGCAAGCCGCCTGGCTGACTGCTCACAGCTGCCCCTGTCCCCAGATCCCCTACTCCTCCTCATCCCCCGGCAGCTACACGGTACGTCTGAGCAAGGCTGGGCCACCCCTGGGCAGGGGCTGTGGGATGGCAGATGAGGGGCCATTTCTCACGGTTCCTGTCTCCTTCTGTGTGCAGGGACCCCCAGGAGGAGGTGGGCCCCCTGGAACACCCATCATGCCTAGCCCTGGAGGTATGACCTAGGCAGAGGCGGGGTGTGCTAGGGTGGGTATGGTTGGGGGAAACCCCGTCACACCTGGCACCGTTCCTGTCCCCTGATCTCCCCCAGATTCCACTAACTCCAGCGAAAACATGTATACTATCATGAACCCCATCGGGCCGGGCGCCGGCAGGGCTAATGTGAGTGGGGGCTTGCGGGGGTGCTTCTCGAGGTGGTGACCCCACTGAGGGAATGGGTGGCCAGAGACCCACGCTGTCCTCATGCCTGCAGTTCCCGCTCGGCCCTGGCCCGGAGGGCCCCATGGCCGCCATGAGCGCGATGGAGCCTCACCATGTGAACGGATCCCTGGGTGAGTGGGCGTCCCTGCTCCTGCCCACGCTGCCTTCCTGCCTTCCGGGCCCGTGCGCTCCCTGGCTGCCTCCCCTCACCAGTCAGCCCGCCTGTCAGGTGGAGGCGTCTAGTGGCGCCCTGAGCCCCCGGGGGACCACTCAGTGACAGGGGCTGCCCCCACCTGGAGCGGGATCCAGCGACCAAACCAGGGGATGCACTGACCGCCCCTCCCCCCCAGGCCCAACCCTCCACCTGGCCTCAGTCCCGGGGTTCCTGGCGGGCTGGGCAGGGTGGGGGCGCGGCAGCGGAGGAAGCTCGCGAGGGTCTTCGGCCCCTGGAGGCCGGGGGGCCTGGCGTCCTGGCGTCAGCACGTCTGAGCCGGTGCCCGTGTCTGTCGGTCCGCAGGCTCGGGCGACATGGACGGGTTGCCGAAGGTAAGGGGGCCGCGCTCCTTCGGAGGGGGGGGACCCGGGAAGGGGTGGGAGCGGGGGGCGGGGCAGGGAGTTCCGCGCTGACCGCGGCCACCCCCAGAGCTCTCCCGGCGCCGTGGCCGGCCTGAGCAACGCCCCGGGCACCCCGCGGGACGACGGCGAGATGGCGGCCGCCGGGACCTTCCTGCACCCGTTCCCGAGCGAAAGCGTAAGCGACTGCGTCGACTCCCCCCCCGCGGCGGCGTCGGGCCGGAGGGGCCTGGCGGGCAGGCCCCGGCGGGGCGGCCGGGGGGCCAGAGCAAGACCGTGACCGCGGCGGGCCAGGTGGGGGGGCGGCCGCGGCATACTTCCCCTCTCCCCAACCTCTCCTCACACCCCACCACCTCCCACTCCTGTTTCACCGTCCCGATGCCATCCGCCCCCACCCCGGGACCCGCGCCCCAGGGCGGCCTCCCCACGCATCGCCCCTCCCCCGTTCCCTCCTATCCCCAACCGTCTGCCCAGGACCCAGCCCTGCCCTGTCCCCCATTGTCCCTGGGGGCGGGTCTCAGCCTCTTCCGAAGCTAAACTCGGCCCCTGCGCGCTGCCCCCTCCTCTCTCCGCAGTACTCGCCAGGGATGACCATGAGCGTGTGATGGGGCGGCAGCCCCGGGCCTCTGCGGGCCTAGGCTTCTGCCCAGCACCCCTGCTCAGGGCGAGGGGCTGAGGTCACACCTCGGGCACCTGGACTCCTGGCCAATCAAGGCTTGCCCGGCTGGGAGGCCCCACAAGAAAGACTTATCATTTTATTAAAAACGCAAGGACCTCAGAGACGTTCTTTTCTGTATGGACCCTTCCTGCCATTTGTATTTTGTCCCAGAGGGCTCTTTGGGGGGCCCCTCTCCCCAGGACGTCAGGGGGTGGGGCCCATCAATAAATGGAAGCTGGTTTTGGTTTTTGGTAGCTTGTCTCAGATTCCCTTTTTGGCCTTCGGCCACCACACCCTCCACCCTGTGGTCTGATGTTCCCCCACGCCCCCATCTAGCCCCACCTTCGAGAACTGGGGGCAGAGCAAGGCTCCAGGTTCTGGGCTCTCCCTGGGAGTTGGGGTGATGACCATGGGCAGAGGGAGTGGGACTGAAGCTGGGCGCTCAGAGTCAAAGTAGAGGGAGGCAGTCAGGTCACAGGCCCCAAGAACCCTGGGTGGAAGGAGGGCTAAGAGTGGCAGCGCCTTTATTGTCTTTGTGGGGGCCTAGCAAGGTGGGGTCTTGGGGGGCAGCAGGGAGGAACAGCTGGGAAGCTGTGTGACCAGGGCCTCAGGTGGTGGGCATCTGGGGTTCCTCCACTTGCGGATGCCCATTGGCATCACCAGTGCAGCCGTTGGTGGCAGCGGGTACCGGTCCTTTCTTGTTCAACACAGGGCAGGCAGCAGCCACGGGTCCGACTCGCTTGAGGACGGGCCCTGGGCGCTCCATCTTATGCTCCAGTAGCATGTGGTTCTGTGGCGGGAGCCCCACGCAGGCCCTGGAGAGGCCGTACAGCTTAGCAGAGCCAGACACCGCCTATAGCCCCCCAAGCCCTGTGCATAGCTTAGCCAGGGGGTATCTGGGCCCTGAATGGGGAACCTGGAGGCTGGGGCACACCTGAGGATGTTCTCGATGCAGCTGCGCTGGCGGAAAAGCGCATTGACCACCGGGCTGCCCGGTGGCACCAGTGGCGCCTTGAAGAGGAAGCTGAGCAGGGATAGCACGGGGTGGAAGGTCTGCGGCTCGGGGTCGGCGTCAGTGCAGAAACTCACACGCTGGCACAGTTCGGTCAGCAGTGCGAGGTCCAGCATGATGGGTGCGGCCAGCAGCGAGTCCTGCGGGACGGGTGGGTCAGGAGGTGGGGGTGGTGGCCAAGCCCCGCCTCCCACAGCAGCCCCTGAAGCCGAACTGCACCTCGCATGTGTTGTGCAACACCAGTGTGTTGGTTCCGCCCAGCATCAGCTCCGAGGTATACTCATCCAGCGCGCGCTTGCTGTCACCCACGTATGGCACATACTTGATGACCACCTGGAGTGCAGCAGGAGTTTGCCCGGGTTCCCACCACCCCTCGCCGGGCAACCCAGCGCCCGTGCCCGCGCCCCACGCACGCAGTGGTCAGGCTCCTCGCCGGGCGCATAGAGCACTGGGTTGCTCTGCACCATGTCGTCCACCACGTTGCTTTTGGACACCTCCTTAGAGCGGAACTGCAATGGCGCCGACAGGTTCTCCCCATCGTTGTTGCCCAGGTGGTTGTAACTCACGATGGACATGGTCTGTAGGTACAAGGGACGCCCCAGCAGCTGCAGGCCCTGTGGCCCTACAAGCCAGGTGCTCGCGGCCCAGGCCCCCTTCCTGCACTCCGCAGCCCCCTAGGCCCACGCACCTTGAGGCCGGAGCCAATGAGGAAGTCCACGAGCACGGACTTGACTTTGGTCTGGCCTGACTTGAAGTCATCTCCGCCCACAAAAACCCGGCGCTGCCATGCGAGCTCAAGGGCTCCGGGCACCAGGGTGTTCTGCGGGGACCCATTGAGGAAGGCACAGCCCTCTAGGATGCTGGCCACGGCGAAGAGTGTGGAGGGCGACACCTCCAGACCAAGCTGTGGGCAAGGTGGGCAGTCAGCACAGAGCTGTGTTTGGGACTGGCCCTGCCTGACCCACTCCACCCGGGCGTGCGCCCACCTCAATGGTGTGTAGTAGGTTCTCGGCTGTGTCGTTGAGGCCTGGAATCACCTCACAGAAGCGCTCCGTGTTCGCCGTCCACAGCACGATGATTTTGTCCAGCCCCGCGCTAGACCGGAAGTCTCGGATGTCCCTGCGGATCTGCTCCAACTGTGGGGAGGATGAAGAGGGTGTGGGGAGGATGGAGCGGGTGTATATGCTCTCAGACTCAGAGGCCTGGGTCACTCAGTTCCCCAGGTGTCAAATGGGGCCTGGACTCACGGGGTGGGGCAAAAAGGGGGAACCAAGTGGACAGGTGGCAGGGAGCAAGGGATGCAGGATGGGACAGCACCTGCTGCGCGCGCGAGCCCGGGATGAGGTTGTCCGCGCGCGCGCTCTGGTTGGCCGCGATGAACTCGGGTATGTAAACAGAAGGCCGGGGCCGCAGGGCCTCCATGTGCGGCCACAGTTGCTCCTGCAGCCCCCAATCCAGCACCTTCGCGCGCCGCATCGCCTCAGCCAGGTTCAGCGACGAGATGTCCCAGCCTGGGGGGATCCTCACACTCGGCCCTGCCCGGATCCTGGGCCCCTCCAGACCCAATCTCCCATCCCTCCCCACCCCGGCCCAGGGCTCCGCCCACCATCGAACACGAGGTCGTTGGGCGCCACCATGGGCAGCAGCGCGCTGAAGGGCACGAACACCTCCTGGCCCTCGGCGTCCAGGCCCAGGCTCACGGTGCCTGCCTGAGTCAGCGAGCCGTAGTAGTTGGCCTCCTTGGGGGGGCAGCAGACACGGAGAGGTGACGGGGGGGCGTGGCGAAGGGGCCGCGACCCGGCCTGGGCCCCGCCTAGACTCTCAAGCCCCGCCCCACTTTCGGGCGTTTTTCAGTTCCGGGCTCCCAGCCAGGACGGAAGCCGCTGCCCCCAGGCCCCTCCCCGAGACCTCCCGCACCTTAAGCTCCGCCCCTGTAAGACTCCCAAGGAGCCCCCGCTACCTCGCGAAACCCCTCCCCGGGGTCCGCCTGCAGCCAGGCCCCGCCCCCTGCAAGCCCTCCCGCCGCACAGAGCCTCGCCCCCTGCAGGTCTCTAGCCCACTGCAGGCCTCCAGCCCCGGGAAGGTCTCTCGACCCTGCAGCCCCCCGCCCCGCAGAACCCCGCCCCCTAGAGTCCCCCGGTCCCGCAGAGCCCCGCCCCCTGCAGACTCCCGCCCCCGCCCGCAAGGACTCCCACCAAGCCTTCCAGCCCACCACGCCCCTCCCGCCCCCACCTTGCGGCCGCTGCGCGTGGGCCAGGACAGACGCAGCCGGTTGGCCAGCACCGCGGCAGTGAGTGTGGAGCCGTTGTTCCCGCCCCAGCCGACAAGCATGACCCCAAGCCGGGGCACCTGCCGGGCGGTCCGGAAGGTGAAGCGCGTGGACGTGGGGTGCACCTGAAGACAGGCCGCGCAGTGAACCCCGGGTCCCATGCCCTTCTCCCCGCGCCGCCCCGCTCTCCCTAGCATGCCCCCTTCCCCAGCCCCCTGGTCTACCTTGAGGACGCCGCCCTCCCGGCTGACGCGCGTCGTCCGGTACTCGTATTGCGCCTCGATGGCCTCGGGGCCGTAGACCACGTCCGGGCTCTCGACGAAGAACTGGGCGGCGGCCTCCATCGTGGCGGGCTGGAGTCCAGGGGTGAGCAGGGGGGTCAGCGGGGACTCTAAGTGGCCGGGCCAAGCCAGCCTGGGTCCCCAGGGAGGCCATCCCCGCCCCGAACCGCACTCACCGGCGCAGAGTCGACTCAGGCAGCGGTGGCTAACAGCGCGGGCTCTCGGGCGCGCGACCTCCGGAGAAAAGCGCTGCGGCCCCGCCCCCGCCCCGCCCCCTTCCCCGCCTCTCCCGCGTTGGGGGGGAGGGGCCCAATGTCTGGAGACCCGGTTCGAGGCCCGACAACTCAGAGCCATCGTGGCCATCGGGTCCTCGTCTGGCAGAAGTGGCCGGGCGTCCACGAGCGCGGCGCGTATAGGTTCACCTCGCTCGCTCCGCAGCCCCCAGGGGCGCATGGCTGCCTATTCCCCCTATACAAGAGGACAATGAGGCACGAGCCCAGCCATAAGCCATGGAGTGGAGCTGGGCAGGGAAGCTGGACCTCTGGGGGTGGGGTAGGAGTTCTGGGTCAGAGACACTGCAGGGGAAACAGGCAGAGGACCAGAACTCCAAAGCCAGAATCTCCTCGGAGCCACGCTGCCACCTACTCCCCCTCCGTGGGCAGCAGCACCTACCAGGCAGTCCCATCCCCTGGCTCCCCATGTCCGCTCCCATCCATCTCAGAGGGGACAAAGTTACTGTGTCCCCACGGGGCTCACAAGCATGGGGCCTGTTTGGCCTGTTTCCCCACCTGCAGCAGGGCTTGGCAGGGGTGGACCCGAGGGGGAGGTTGTTCGCTGGGAAGGGGAGGGGACACACAGGCGGGCAGGGCCCAGGCAGGGGAGGAATGAGGCCTGCACAGCAGGGCGCCCCCCTCATGCGCGCTGATAAGAGAGCGTGGGAACCCAGCGGGCAGGCCGGGGCAGCTCCCCCAGGAACTTTCCAAAACAAGCGCCTGGAGGCCGGAAAGTTTCCACCACTGGAACTGGCCCAAAAGGTGGATAGTTGGGAACGTTTGCAAGAGACAGGGCCTGACCTTGGAGGATGAGGGCTTAAGACTCTGGGTCCAGGCCTCACCCTGAAGGGGCCCCAGTCTGAGGGAGTTGGAAGTGGACTGGGATATCCCTGTCCCCAGTGGGTGAGAACTCACAGGCAGGGCCCCTGCAAGACAGGCTCCCCAGATGAGGGGGCTGCTGGCAAGGGTTTTGAGATGTGAAGAGGAGTTCACTGAAAGAAGACTACAAGCTAAGTCACCTGAGCCACCCAGGCAGGGCAGATGAAAAATTGGCTACGTGGGAGGCAGTTTGGGGTCTTGGGCAGACGCTGAGGGCTGGGATAGGGAGTGTGAAAGAGTATTTGGTTGTTCCTGGTTCTTGGTTAGACATTGAGCTCAATCACCAGTGGCCAATGATTTAATCAATCACATATATGCAAATGAGATGGGGCTCACAAAACAGAACCTCCCCCCGCCACCCCTGCCACCCTCAAGGCCTTGGCCCTGAGCAGGGCATCGGAAAACTCAGAATCGAGTCTTTCCGACCTTCTCCTGCCCTCCTACCTCTAGCCCCTTTCTCCTCTGGAAACCATAGAAACCAGAATTCCTCCTCCCCAAGGCAGGTCAGAGAAACTGGAGCCCTTCTCCCGTAAAAAAAAAGAAAAAAAAGCCACAAAGCCGGCAAAGGTCACTCTCTGCCTGCTCCCTTGAAGACCGTCATTCCAGGAGGGTCCTGCCCATACCCTGGAGGAAGGAATGCTACCCAGAACCCAGGAAGTCTGGGCAGGCTGGCCCCTCTCCCCCACCCAGTCTGCTCCCTTTAAGATCTACAAAGTGTTTCCTCACACTGATACACATTCTTCATAGAACCTAAGCCGAAAAATAGGCAGTTGGCCAGGCATGGTGGCTCATGCCTGTAATCCTAGCACTTTGGGAGGCCAAAGAGGGCGGATCACTTGAGCCCAGGAGTTTGAGACCAGCCTGGGCAACACGGGGAAACACCATCTCAATACAAACAACAAAAAAAAGTAGCCTGGCTTGGCGCATGCCTGTAGTCCCAGCTGTGTGGGAGGCTGAGGTGGGAGGATCACCTGAGCTCAGGAGGTGTGGGCTGCAGTGAGCCGTGATTGTACCACTGCACTCCAGCCTGGTCAACAGAGTAAGACCCTGTCTCAAAATAATAATAATAAATAATAATAATAATGGGGTTTAGGGGAAAACATGGAGGCGCTGGGAGGGTGGCACGCCTGGAAAAGGCATGGAAGCTTCATGGCCCACCCCATACCTTGCCCTGTGCGCCTCCTCCATTTGTGAGCATTTTCTGGAGTTCTGTGAGCTGTTCTAGCAAATTATCAAACCTGAAGTGGGGGTGGTGGGAACTCCCAATTTATTAGCCTGCTTGCCAGAAGTATGGGTGGCATCTGACATGGGTGCAGCCCTGTGGGACTGACCCCCATAACTTGTGAAGTCCGATACCATTTCTGGGAATGGAACTGTTGGACATCCTGTAGGTATCAGAGGATCAGAGAATCGGGGAATCTTGTGCCTCGAGGAAACAGGCAATTCAGGAACCTGTGTAGTTGAGACATGAGGAAGGAAGGTCCCAAGACCCAGCCCCGGGGAGCCCCTGTGTTCACAGGGCCACCTGTCGGGGGTGCCGGAGGATGGGAGCTGGCATGGGGCAGCTGGAGGGATTCGGTGTAGAGGCTGGGCTGCTTCCACTCCCAGCAGTTGACAAGCTGAGGGAGGGGATTTGGCCCCTCCAGTCAGGCCTGGGTGTGCTGAAGTGGGTGGTGAGATGCACTGCCATCCCCCAGCAAACTGGGCTCCCTGAAGGCAGGGATGAGGGTCTCTCAGTCACTGCTGTGTTGCAGAGCCCAGGTGGAGCTTGGTACAGGAGGGGGCTGCAGGAACAGGGGTGCCAGTGGAAAGAGGACAATTGGGGCCCCTGGCAGGTGGCAGGAGAGGGGTTAGCAGGCCTGAGCCCCTCTCCACCATGATGCCCAGGTCATCAGGGTGGGAAGGCTCTCCTGGATACCCGGGGCACTGGACTGATGGCATCCATGGCTCAGGAAGATCAAGAGACTGACTGTGGCCTCTGCGGGCTGTGGGGGTGATGGCCAGAGTATTGCTGGGCTGTTGGCGCAGGGCTGGTGCTGGAGGGCCAGGGGAGGCAGGACCGTGAGCTGGAGGAGGTTGATGTTGGCCCTGGGGTGTGGGGACAGAGATGTTATCCTGGGAGAACAGCATGGCCAGGCTATGCTGGGAGCAGGGTACATGCTGCCCCGCTGGGTTGCATGACTTCCCCTCCCGCGTCCCTCAGACTCCTGGGTGGCCTTAGAACATAGGCCAAGGCCGCGGACCGGCAGGGAGACCAGGCCCCACAGCTGCAGGCCCAGGACCTTTGCCCATGGTCCTATTCTTCTGTGTTATCTCTTATTAAATGCACCCCCTCTTGCCCTTGGCCGGCAGGATGAGCGTTATGTTCCCCATGGCCCCTGGCTCCAGTTCCACCTGCACCGCCACCGCTCCCACCAGGTCTTATCCCATCCCCACTAGTGGCACAGGGGATGCCCCTGCCCCAGTGTGGAAAGAACAGGTAATAAAATATTACCGTTACCTGCTGCTGTTTTCATCAAAGGAAGACAGTCACAGCTGGTTTCCCCCATCCCCAGCCCCTCTCCTGTGGCCTTTGATGCCACAGGGGGCCAAGGAATCCCAATGCTGGGTTAAGCCCACCCTACCAGAGAGTACTGCTCTGCTCATACACCCGCTATGGCTGCTCCCCCCTATCACCTACAGGGCCCTCTGATTTGGTCCTTTCTAGGGCAACGGCTCAGGTAGGCTGCAAACTTTGCCTTCTCATCTGGTCCCACCCAGAGCCCCTGAACAACCCCTCCTCACTATGGCGGCTCCAGGCCACATCACCTCCCAATGCCAGCCCACCCCCAACCACTGGACAGGGACAGCCACCACAGAAACCAGGCTGTGATACACCCGCACACCACACACACACCCCAACACACACCACACCCCAACACACACCCAACACACACCACACCCTCACACCACACACACACCTACACACCCCAACACACACCACACCCCACCACACCAACACATACCACACCCCCAACACACACCACACCCCCACACCACACCAACACACACCACACACCCACACCACACCCCCCACACCACACACCCACACACCCAACACACCAACACCACACCCAAAACACACACCTTCACACCACACACACACACACCCAACACACCATACCCCCACACACCAACACACCACACCCCCAACAAAACCCCCCCCCCCCCCACACCCACCCCACCACATCCCTAGCACACACCACACACCCACACACACCCCAACACACCACATACATCACACACCCACACCCTTACACCACACACCCACACCACACTCCAACACCCTCACACCCCACACATACACGACACCCACACCCCCACACCCTAACACACACGTCCAGATACACCACACCCTAACACGCACCCAGATACACTACACCCACACCAACATACCCACACAACACCCACAAACACCCACACCCTAACATCCCCAGATAAACCACACATACCAACACAGAACCCACACCCTAACACACCCACATACCTACACAGATACCCCACACCCCAACACACCCACACATACCCTAACCACACACTACACACCCACACATCACACCCAACACACACCGACACAGATACACTACACATCCACACACACCACACACACACCATACACCACAAACACAGATACACCAGCACCCACACACCACACACACCACACACACCAGCCAGGCAGTCTGGGCTGCCGGGTTCAGTTCAGTGAAATTTATTGGAGAATGAAAAAAGTCAGCATTCACCTGTTTAGTGTACAAAAAGGACACTAGATCTTTTAAGAAAATATTAGGAAACTGAAGACACAGATGCCTTTCAATTGTAACATTTTGGCAAAAGTGGAAAGTTCTTGTAAACACCAACCCCATGGCTCAAAATAGTTTTTCTCCACAGTACAACATTAAAAGAAAAAAAATAGTATCAATAAGTTAGACCATATTTAATCAGCTAGAACTTTGTCCACCAACCCCCAAAACACAAAACTTTTCTTAGCTTCATAATTCCTTAAAAGGAGAACAAATAAACAACAAAAACAACAACAACAACAAAAAGGCAAATTCAACTGACAGCCCCTTGGACTGGTTCCCAGGGCAGAGGGGCGGGCAGTCCCAAGCTGGGACCTCCTGAAATTATCCCACCTCACTCATGTCCGCAGGGCTGGCTGCGGGCAACACAGCGGGGTCCAGCTGACCCTGGAGGCCCCCTGGAGTCTGCTCGACCCTTCCCTGGCCGGCCCAGAAGAGAAAAACAACAACAGCTATTGAAACATGAAGGATCAGTTTCCTCGGAGCTCTGGGAACCCGGGGATCCCAAAGGAGAGAGACTCTTGGGCAGGGGTGGGATGCACTGTGGGCCCTCCATGGTCAGCTCTTTGGAAGCTATCAGGAGGCACCCCTCCACCCCCCAGTTTAGAAAAATAGACACATCTGTATTTTTGCATTTCTGCTCTCCCTGCCTGACTGCTGATGGCAGCAGTGACCCCCATGTGATCCCTGGGCCCTGAGTCACAGCCACCCCCACCACCACCTTCCCAAGTCATGGCTTCATTCAGCCCTAAATGGGAACATACGCCTCAGACCCCACCATGCCCTGGGGGGTCCCCACACACGCACACACACGCACACTTGCGTGGCCCCCCGATGCTTTCGGGGACGCTAGAGTAGGCACAGCAACAAAGCAGCAATTGGGGTGTCTGCACAGCCTGCACCCCCAGAGCAGGCGGACCCATCCTCCTGGCTCCCCAGCTCTGCCCACGGGTCCCTGGGGCCTCCCTGACCCCAAGGCACCCAGCCCTCCATCAGCCCCTCCCTGAGTGCAAACCTTGGCGGTGGCTCTGCTAAAACGACCCCAGGACCCACAAGTGGACAGAGGGACGGAGGGAGGCCAGCAGCATCGAGACTACAAGGTCTCAACAGTGTGGAATGAGCAGCAGCAGCAAATGGGAAACCGAGGACATCACAAAGTAAAATCTGACGCCGCTGCAGCCGAGTCTCAACTTGGAGCACAGAAACACAGTGGCCCCCGACAGCTGAGGGCCTCAAATAACAGGGCAGGCCTGGGGGCGCCAAAAGCCCTCTGCCCCCTTGGCTCTGAGCAGCTGCCTGGGGACACCAGCTGGAGTTCTCAAAATAGCCACCCAGGCCACCCCATTTGCTTGCTGGAGCAGAGACCCTGCCCGAGGAGGAGAGGCTGGGGACGGGGGTGCCTAAACATAGAGCCAGAGACTAGCAGAGGCCACGTGCCCCGTCCCCGCGCCCTCAGAACGCGGCTGCACCTTTCGACGGCCTCTGTAATACTGCAGGCAGGACCCAGGGCAGCGGCTAGACCCTGGGTGTCCGAGGAGAGGGAGGCACAGGTTTAGAAAAAAGATTTTGCTTCTCTTTTGTACAAAAATAGACTCAAGTCTCATTAGCAGTAGCTAAAAGTGGCTGTCTTTGTATAAAACTAGAAAAGGCAGGCGCGCCGCCCTGAGGGCCTAGGAGTCTTCTGGCGAGAGAGGAGGCTGAACCCAGGGGGCTGCAGCCAGGGAGGAGGCAGTGGGCTTCTGGGGAGCCCGTCATAGGCAGGGACTGCTCAGGAGGCGCAGGGAGGGCCGAGGTGGGCTTGCAGCCACCTGCCAGGGTGAGACGTCTGCAGGGGCTGCCCTGAAAGCCGGCGGTGCTGGCTCAGATGAGCATCTTCCTTGGGTTTATTTTTTTAAATAAATCCTCTCTCCCGGCTTTTTGCTCCCCCCACCCTCCCAGATCCCTGCCATCGGGGCGGGCGGCTAGGGCCAAGCCTGCAGCTGCCGCTGGTCGTACTCGGCAATGAGTCTCTTGATGTGGGCCAGCTTGCTGTGCAGGTACTCGCAGCGGTGCTTCTCCTGGCTGTAGTTGGTATTGGTCTGCGGGACAGCACAGTCACGCTCAGCACAGAGCCTCCCTGGGTGCTACTCCCCGCTGTGAGCAGGCCAGTGCCCACCCCCCCCCCCAACCAAAAACCTGGGCTTGGTGCCCAGCAAGGAGGGTTATGGTCCAAGGGCAGAGTGGGAGTTGGTTCCCCGCACCTCCTCAGCTTGTGTGGCTGGGCCGGGATGCCACAGCTGAAGACTTGGCTGGGGGAGGCGGGGCAACTTTGGCCTCAGACCCAAAGGCTCTTCCCCCACACCTTAGAAGTAGCAGGCAGGGAGGTTGCCCTGGGCCCACTCTCCTCCCTCCAGCTCCCACGGCTCACTTGGAGCCCATCCCAACACAAGAGACACTCACCTTTTTGATTTTTCTATATTCCTGCAAAATCTGCCCTCGAGTAGTCTAGAAGAAAAACAAAATTTTGAGATGACAGAATGCATCCCCGCCTGCAGGAAACTCAAATTGAGTGGTCCCAGGTGCTCTGAGAAGGGTGAGGAGTGGGAAGGTGGGGCAGCCTCAAGTACAGGGGCAAGTCACACCCCATGGGTCTGCAGTGGCTGTAGCTCCAGAGTGGATGGGGCATGAGGGAAAGGCTGCCGGGTCCCTTGGAGGCAAGAGCAGGTGGCGCACCGCTGTCATGGGGGTGTGATACAAGGAAGTATCCATGTCACGGCGAGGCTGGGATGGGGGGCTGGGCGGGGCATGCAGCAAAGAGGGAGGGGAGGGAGAGATGCCCCAAGAAGCCGTGGCTTGCAGCCCCTAGAACCCTATCATGAGTCATCTTCTTTGGAAGCCAAAGGGGCTTTGGCCAGGAGATACCCCGGCATCTGATTAATCGGGGCCCAGCCCTGCAGTCAGGTCACCAGTTTCAAAAGGTGGCAGGTGGGGAGGCTGTGTCCAGGGCTGTGGCTGAGGGTGGAGACTCTGTCTACACAGGGCAGCTGAAGGAGCTGTGAGCTCAAGCCAGGGGACCACAAACACAGGGACCTGTCACCTCCCCCTGCTACAGTTGTGGCAGCATGGATGGGCTCCAGGGTGCTGGACAGGGCTCAGTTGCGGAGTCTCCCGAGGGTGTGGCACAGGTACCAAGAGCCCTGTGTCCTGGGCTGTGAGAGGACCCCCGGTGCTCAAATGTGTGGCGATCCATGTACCCTGGATCGCCCCCACCCAAGGAGGTGGGTTACAGCTGTCCCCACTGCAAAGGAGGCTGACAAGCTGGGCTGCCTTCAAGGACTCCCACAACAGGGCCCCAGGGCCAGGCCAGAACCATGGAATTGCCGCATGGAGTGCACCAGGGGGAGAAGTGCTGCCTGGGGAAGGGCCAGACTCTGGGGCCACCAAGCAGGCCAGTAGGCTCGTGGTGGCGATGGTACGCGCCCAAATGGGCCCTGGCTCCTGCCAGAGCTGGGGCACAGCAGACAGCGGGGCGGCTCTACCTCGTACTCCTCGGAGCCCTGGGAGAGCTGCCGGAGCTGGGCGTCTAGCTGCGTGAACCGCCGCGTGATGCGCTCAATGCGGGCGTGCAGGTCGCGGTACTCGCTGTACTCGGCGTTGAAGTCGTTCTTGTAGCTCTGGCGCTGCTCCGAAGAGGAGATGGCTGCGTACTTCCTGAGATAGGAGAGAGGGGCCACTAAGTGGAGGCTGGAAGGACCCAGCTCCACCCAGGCAGCGGCCATCCTGGCTCCGCCGGCGGCCTGGCCTCTCGGGTGATCCCCTGGCTTATGAGGGGGCCTGGCCCAGAAAAGGCTGCTATGTTTGGAATTCACATACTCAGACTTGCAGTGGCTTTCTGCCTCTGATAACCTGCAGTGCTGGGGGAGGGGGTCTGAACCCAGAAAAGGGAGGACTGGCCTGCAGGGCCCGGACAAACACTCACAGCAAGTAGTCGGGCGTCTCCGACGTGGATGTGGGAACACTGGAAACGCTGCAGCTTCCGTTTAAACCTACGAGAACAAACACATACCTCCTGAGTCTGCACCCATGGCACTGGTCTGCAGGAAGCACGCCAGGATGGGGACATGCATCAAAAGTGCACGCTTTGCTGCTGGAGGGACATGGAGGGACGGCAAAGGGGATGACTGTGTGGCAGATACAAGGGCTGAGCACCTGGCACCTGGCAACTGTGGGCTGCTGGACCTGGACATGCCTTCCAGGTGTCGAGCAGAGTTCAATGTGCACCTGCGTGTCCAGGGCAAAGCCCTGCAGGACACAGAGCGCCCAGGCATCACCACAGTCACATTCTTGGCAAACAGCAGACAGGTCAGGGAACTGCAGGGCCAAAGCCTGCACAACCGGTCAGAGCTTCCCCCAGGCCAGGTCTTTGCTGCCTCCACTGACTGCATGTCAAAGGTCACTAAGCTGAAAACAAATGACCCCTGGCCTGACCCGAGTCTCTGTGGCATCCCAGTCTCTGGCCAGGCAGGACAAAGACAAGATGGCCAGCAGGGCCTGCATCTCTTGCTGCTGACAAAGTTCCAGGCCCTTGGTCTGCACCCCACCCAGATCGTCCCATCCTTTCCACTAGACACTGAACTGCAGGCTCCACAAGGCAGCTCCAGGACAGGGCCAGCCAGAGGAGCCCATGGGCCACCCCAATCGGCCATCCATGAGCAAAGCGTCCATGATGATGCTCAGCCCTTCAGCCCTTCAGGGGCCTGCCCAAAGCTGCACAGCTGATGGCTAGATGGGACCCCAGGCAGCTGTCCTCTCCTCAGCCATGTGGTGGGGTGCCCTGGCCACATATGACAACACCCCTGAGGGTTTGGCAATCAGGGAGGAGGGGCAGGAGGACTGAAGTGCCCGTCACCTAGGACCACAGTCGCCTCATCCCCTCAGATCACAACTACAATTTAGTGCGTTTCCTAGGCCTTCTTGAAGTGACTTTCTTTCCAATACAGGAATGATTTTATCAATTTCAGATGTATCCTCAGTACACTTTTTTTTTTTTTTTAGGAGACAGGGTCTTGCTCTGCCACCCAGGTTGGAGTTGCAGTGGTGCGATCATGGCTTACTACAACCTTGAACTCCTGGGTTCAAGTGATCCTCTTGCCTCAGCCTCCCAAATAGGTGGGACTATAGGCATATGCCACCATGCCCAGCTAATTAAAAACATTTTTTGTAGAGATGGGGTCCAACTGTGTTGCCCAGGCTGGTCTCAAACTCCTGACCTCAAGCAGTCCTCCTGAATTGGCCTTCCAAAGCACTGGGATTATAGGTGTGAACCACCACAGCTAGTGAATTTTTTTTTTTTACTTTTTAGTAGAGATGAAGAGGCTCTCCTATATTGCCCAGGCTGGTCTTGAACTCCTGGACTTAAGTGATCCTCTTGACTTGGCCTCTCAACATGCTAGGATTACAGGCAGAGCCACTGTGCCTGGCCCTCGTGCACATTTTCAGGGGCCCTCTGCACTATCCCCTGAGAGAGCAGGAGTCTGCAATCTCCAGTTTGCTGAGCCCTCTCTCTCAGTGTAACATCTGGGCTGACCACAGCAGCTTCTCTGCTGCCAAATTCCCAAAAGTGGACAAAGCTCACTCCCCACAAAGTTTTTAACAGTCCCAACTCTGGGTCAGGCACTGCCTTCAATATCGCCACCACCCCCACCTGGGTTGTCTTTAAAAGGCTGTGGCCTTCCCAGGGCTGCAACCCACTGGG